CCCACACCCATCTCTCCTGTCTGTACCCCCTCTCTCCCACACCCATCTCTCCTGTCTGTACCCCTCTCCCCACACCCTACCCCCGTCACTCCTCTCTTGCCCTGCCCTCCCCTCACCCTGCGGTTGAAGTTGTGGTCTGGAGACTTGAGGTGCTTCTGGATGAGGTTGTGCTGCATGGGGATGAAGATGTCGCAGGCCGCGCAGTGGGCCGCCTCCACCTTCCTCACGAAGTGCTCCATCCCGATGTCTGCAGGCGAGACACACGGCCGGTCAGGCACCTGCAGCAGAGCGCCCCCCGGGGGGCGGAGGGGTCTGACCTGCTGCAGTAAGGCGCCCGCCGTGAAAACAAGCACAATGCGGGATCAGATTCAGTCGCTACAACCTGGCTCCCCGTCTCCGAGGTCAATAAACCAGCTGCAGACCCGTTCACGGACAGGCACCGAGCTGTGAGGTAACGAGTAAGAACTGCAACCTTTGTTTAAACACCTACCTGTTGCAGATTATTCCTTTACTACATTAGACTTCCATACACAACAGTGTTATTTGAGTAGTTAAGTAGCCTGGGCTCCGCAGGCCAGGTTTCGGAGGCCCAGTTTGTGAATGGTTTTCAGTCCAGCTGGGTTCCTTACCGCGGGTCAGGTCCTGCTCCTTGTACACCTGACAGATGGCCGCGCTGATGTTTTCCATGTGGTTCCTCCTCACCTCCGTCTTCTTGTATTTGTTCAACAAGTACTCCTGAGAGGGTTGAAGAAAAACGTCTGAGCCAGGTCTCTATCCCCCAGAGTTTTCAGACGACAACTGGGTCAAGCTGCTCATGGAGCATTCCTAGACAGTTCACAAAATGGGCTCTCCGTGGGGAAAATCCCATTGCCACAGGAATGTTTTCTGGGGCTTCCATAACATTACCATTGTCATACCGCCAATGAACACGGCACCCTCTGCTGCTCGGAGGCAAAACTGAGAAATCTGACAAAGCATTATTGTAGCCCATTGTAGCTCAATTAACACCCATAACACTGCCCCATAGTTACAGTGCTCACCTTTATACAAAACAACAAAACTCTTCCTGACTTAGGCACTTGGAAGAAGAGTCCAAGACCTGGGAGCTCTTAATTGCTCAATGTGGGGAAACAGATCATCGAGTACGTGACTCAGTACTTGCAGTATTCATAAGTACTCAAAACCCACATTGGCTCCGACAGCACTAACCCAGCAGATTACTTCAAAGCCAACAGTTAAACGAGTGGGGAAAACTACATGGATGGGCATTTAAAACCAAGATCAGGAGGCTCTTTACGCAATGGGTGGTGGGAGTATGGAACAAGCTTTCCACCCATGTTGTCGAAGCGAACTACCCAAGGCAAGAAAGGTATTTCCGGATGAGGATAAGATCCTGGAATCAATTAGCTACTAATTAACCAAACATGCTGGGTGGGCCACATGGCTGCCTCTCGTTTGCGGCTGCTTTTAAGACTCGCCATGGGAAGGCTGCACTCTGGCAGATATGGGCGACCCTTCGTGATTTACCAACACCACCAGGCATGTACAGCTACTTGGAGACACTGGATACAAAACATCACTCTAGACAATGATAGTCACGAGAACTACATTAAAAAAAAAACGTCCTCAGAAAGATATTAATATCCGAGAAAGGAAAATGTATTTTTCCCCCCTAAAGCAGCAGCATTCTCTTTAAAACCTAACAGTGCCAAACCATTGGTTTCAGGCCAATTTGTCGACTGAGGAATAACTGGGACGAGCCGAAGGAAATGTAAATGCGTGGACATGGGGGCCATACCTGCAGGAAGTCGGTGGTGGGTTTGGACAGCTTGCTGGCCAGGAATTTGAAGTGCTCCTTGTGAAACCTGCTCTCCAAGTGTGCCGTCATCTCGTCGTTGTAGAAGGAGCGGAATTTGCAGACCGAGCAGGCGAACATCACCCTGGGAAGGCAGGCAGGGTTTTGGCAAAACAGACCGAATGGGTACCAGCAAGGCGTTGCTCACGAGAAATGCGTCTTTATAACGCCGACGGCATTGTTTTATCTAAAAGCGCCAAGACCCTGTGCGAGAACAGCGAGTGTCCAGAAGGGGCCTCGAGAGCACAGAAACGGGCACATGGGGCTGTGGGGCCGGAGAACCGATGTCTCGGAGAAGCAGGTCTCCAGGCTTCTTTCCGGACGAGGTCCTCGGCAGGATGAGCAACTACCCAACCGAAAGGGCCCCTTGTGTTCAGCTGGGTTACTGTACTGCAGAAGCGATGTTCCAGCGTGACAAAGAGCAACGAGAATGATTCCTAGTCTCAGGGTACTGCAGTATACAGACAGGTCAAGAAGGAAACTATACGTCTTCAGGCAAGAAGAAAGGAGGTTTGAACCAGGTGGGGTACAGAGAGGTTCCTCCCATGGGACTGGTTCACATTCAGTAGTGTATCAGGGTTAAATATAGTAATGTAAGGGAAAATCATTCAGGACATAGATTAGGGAACACTTCTTTACTCAGAAGAAGTATCGGCAACAGGTGCAGACACCTTTACTCAGGTGGGTGTCTGCAACAGGCTTGCCAGCCAGGTGGCCGAGTCCCCCACCCTGAGCACCTTTCAGAAACAGCTAGGTGAAATCTTTGATTCACTTTTAAGCTCTTAAACAAGCAACAGAGGCCGAATACCCCCCCCACACACACCTTATTCGCAAATGCTTATGAATGCCCTTGCCCCCCCCCCCACTTCCCCCTCACCTCTCCAGGAACCGGCTGCTTCTCTTCTTCTGCTTGGGCTTCTCTGCCCCCTGAGGCTTCCCTTGCAGCCTCTTCTTCACCTGGCTGATCTCCTCCTGCATGGTGAGTGCTGGGAAAGGGAGCCGGTGAGAGCAATGAGTTTCACAGCACAGACAGATGAACTAAGGAGCATCCACCCATCTAACTGCTTTACCCAGTACAGGGGAGCTGGAGCCTATCCCAGCAAGCAACAGGTGCAAGGCAGAGTACACCCTGGAGGGGACTCAAGTCCATCACAGGGCACAAACACAGCTACTGACAGTCCCACTCACACCGGGGCCACTTTTCCCAGATTCCAACTAACCTGCCAGCATGACTTTGGACTGTGGGAGGAAACCCACATGAACATGGGGAGAACATACATCTCCACGCAGACAGCACCCCAGGAACTGAACCCAGAGACCCAGCGCTGCCAGGCAGCAATGCTGACCACTGTGCCATCTATGGAACATATCTGACAAATGCAATAAATTCTTACCATCCTCTCCCTCTATAGAATCTTCAACCTCCTGCAAATGGAAGAAAAAGACCATTCAAGATTCCAGATACGCAGAAAAATCAACACAGAACGACGCACGCAGGCCACCACTGCAGAAGCCTTACACAAGCCAGCCCGAAATGGGGACAGCAGCCGGATACAACGGCTGCATTCAGCTCACTGGTTATTCTGATCACCTAATCCCACTGCATCAATCCAAGCTGGATGGACGACAGCTGTAGCAGAGGAGCTGTCAGTCTGCTTGGACTGGCTATCAGGTCATCCTGGGTTACCAAGTGCTCCAATGTGAGCATCACTGTCTCTCCCAGGAAGCTCCTGACCACCTGGGAGCAGGGCCACACGGCACAGGAGGGCCAGGGAAAGGCCACTCACCGTTGTAGCCTTCCCGTCTTCTGCTTCTGCGCTGGGCTCCTCGGCCTCTGCAGAACACACATACACACACTGGGGTCACTCGGGATCGGACCCGGGCTCAGGTCATCACCATCAAGGACGCAACACTTCTCTGGCGCCTCATCAGAACCCGAGACCTTTATAGCCACCCATCTCGGGGTTAGGTGCCCTACCACGGTTAAGAGACTCCAAACCTCAAACCCTGAACAAACACGCGATTCTGCAGTTTTCCCTCTTACTTTCCAGGATGCAAAATATGCAATAAGCATGCAGGCACAGCAATCCCAGCCCTGGATCGCCAAGCAAACGCCAGGAGGGAGTTACCGTTGGCGGACTCCGATCCAGCCTGCTCCGTCTTCCCGATCTTGCTCTCCGGCTCGTCGGCAGCGGTCAGGGACTGCTTCCGTTTTTTCTTCCCGTCCTTTGGCACCTTCACCTGCTGAGAGAGGCAAGGTAGGGTGAGCCCCCCTCCCCAGAGCTCACTGCTCCCTTCCCACCCACACGCAGGTAGGCACTTAAACCTCTGACCGCCATATGACTTGTACAGTCACTGCACTGCAGGCAAACTTTCTCTCTGCCTCGCAGTCTCTCTGACACTCCTCCTCCGAATGGGACAGGAAAGCATCCCAAGCAGAAGCACCCGAGAGCTCCGCCTCGTAACCGGCTCCCGGCCGGCACAGCTCAGCTCAGGAAAACAAAGCGGACTCTACCATAACCCCCACAGACAGCTTCCGATCCTTCTGCGTGACACAGGAGGCCATTCCTCAAAGCTGTCCCTAGGAGGAAGATTTATGAAGAGTTCCTCGGCTTCAGGCACAGGTTCAAAAACCAGGCACCATTAACCTGCTGCTGGTAACGTTTCGAGACTCTTCAGCTGAAGCCAAATGTCGGATAATAAAGAAAGATGAATTAAGAAATATTATAAAGTAGCATGCAAAAGAAGTATACTAAGATTTTGATTTTTGAGCCGAGGAACACCCTAGCACTCTCACAGACTGCTGGCCATACTTACAGAACTCAGCCTTTTGTGTCATGCATCAAAGCCAAGGCAAATAAGCCAACAACCAAAGCACTCCACCCTTCTTCACAAAGTTGCACGACCTCAACATCCCGAAAGAACATGAGAAAAACAAAATCATTCTGGTTCTTGTTCAAAATTTCTCATTTCCTTCTACGGCAGACAATATCAAGGTTGTTCATCAGACCCAGGGACTCAGATTTTAAAAAAGCCACTAAATCAAACTGAGCAAATGCTCTTCAGCAAGTCCTGTCTTCAATACCAGCACATGAGAAGTACGATTAATTCAACAGTAGACCCCACACACTTCGGTGCCATCCAAGATCAAGGTGAAGTGCTCTGCAACAGAGTGATACTGGCTACGGAGGTCTCCAGAGTTCAGCTTGGCCGATAGTTCCCTGCTCCTGCTCGTACTGTGGCCAGTGGTACTTCCTGGAGGGCTCGGGCGCACAGCCCTGCTTTGCCATGGACACTGGTGGGCGGTGGGGAGGGCAGCGTGGTGATCCGGCTGTGGCCCTTGAGTCGCTGGGACCCATGAGCAAGTATTCCTCTGCAAGGACAGGTGTGCACACTATGCACACTAGTGCCCTGGCCCTTCTGCTCCAGCACCACTGTGCCCAGACATCAGATCAAACAATGGGGGGGATTTGCAAAACGCAATGGATTGCCTGCCCAGCCCCAGTTTGCATTTTTTTTTTAGGAAAGAGGAGCAAGACTCTAGATTGCCCAGGATGACAGGAAGACAAAGCCTCAGGATGCCGTGCAATCTGGCCAGGTTTCACAGTTGCTGGATTGTTCAGATCCAGTTTCCTCACCCCCCACCCCACACAATCACAAAAAACAGTCTGACTGCACCCTGCCACAGGCTCAGCCTGGTTGTCATACTGCAATCCGCTATATCCCAATCCCCTAGAAAACACCTCCCCCTCCACACACACACCAGGCCCCCTCACCTAACCCAACCACTCCCCTGCAGAAGGAGTTGTCAAGAACAGGACCAGGGGAGAAACTGCACTCCCTGCCCACACGACTGCCCTGGGGGCGCCGAGGAAATGAGACGGCACTTCACATCCCATGATTCCAAGCCTCGATTTGCAACAACACTTCCTCGCAGTGAGTCAGAACCACAACCATCGCCTAGCTGGGAGGTTCAGTCGAAGCGTGCCTCGATCCTTTTTAAGGCATGGCCGAAGCCTTTCGACTAAGAAGCAATCTCTTTCCCCACCTGCAAGAAATATCGTCCCCTTTGGCATACTCCCCCATCCCATGTTGCTCACAACGTAAAAAAAAAGAAAACTTCCCGCTGAGAATCGGTAACTAAGGAGATCTGAAGGGAGTCAGAGCAGGATCACCCATGGTGTGGTGCCAGCAGAGCCAGCAGGAGAGCTCCAGGACCCGAGGCCCCCTGCCTGCCTGCCGCACCCAGAGACTGGGGAGATCGGCGCCCCTCTAACCCGGGGACTGGGGGGCGTGTCCGGCTGCTGCGCCTGCGCAGGCGGAACAGAGGGCGGCGCTTGCGAACAGGCGGCGGACAGATACGGACAGGCTGCGGGGATGGGGACGGACGGGGGGGGGTGGCGGCATCTGGATCGGCTGTGTAGATGCGGGCGGGGCGCGTGAATGGCACGGGCAATGGGAGAGAGGTGGGGAGGGATGGATTTCAGATTTTTTTTTTTTGCCCCGGCTGCTGCCGGTGTGGTCGACCACTCTGCGGGTACTTACTCGGCTGGGCGTTCTCTTGCGCACGCGCTGTCGGCCGGCCCACATCCCCGCTCCGCCGCCATAGCGCCTCCCGGGGTAATCCGGCGCGCCCGGGGGCTGGTACATGCCCATTTCAGGGTACATGTGGTGAGAGAGGAGCGACGGGAGCTTGCCGCCTGGAGAGGGGCCCCCCCTGCCGCCCATTGGGGGCTCGCTCCACCGCCCAAAACCTCGGCCGCCCCCGGGGCCTCTGGGGGAGCGCCGCGCGGCCCAGCCCTGGCCGTAGGTGTCCCGCGGCTGTCTTGGGTTGAGAGACTTTCCGGATCCATAGCCGGAGCCGTCATAGCCCCCTGGTCCGCCGTAGGCAGCGCCGCCCCGTGGCGGCATGTGATCCGGCCCTCCTTCACTGTAACCATAGCCGGATCTGTAGAGATCCCGGTCGTTTAGTGAGGTGGCCCGAGAGTCGAAGGACTCGTATTGGTCAAACCTGCAAAGGAGGTGCAGAGCAAGGAAGGTGAGGAGAGCATGCCGACTTGGAAACACACAAAAAAAAAAAATAGACTGAATGCAGGGAAATACATTATTTTTGTCGTGCACACAGGTTTCCTGGCTCTCTCCCCCTCCTGCCCCCTCTAGGTAGTGACATTTTCTCGTTCGTTTTCCAGGTGCCAGCAAATCAGATCAGATCCGAAAGCCTTTTCCGATACTCCATAGGCAAAGGGTTTAAGAAAAAATGGGGGAGGGTGAACGAGACCCACAGTGTCTCCAGAGAGATTGGTTTATCCCAAAGCACAACGAGGACGGCCTGATGGGCAGCCTCAGGAGCGCACGTGCTACCTCGTTTCCGAAACGGGGGAAGGGGAGAGGGTGTGCAACAGACTTTTTCCACCTGTCCCCCCCCCATACAGGAGCACAGGAGAGATGCCTCCACAGAGCAACATGAGGCCCCAGCCCACAGCGCGTCACACTGCACTGCTCTTTGGTTTTATCAACCGGAGGTGCGTTATCAGGCTGAGCCAAAGCCAAGACTCAGGGTCTTCCATGTGACTCTTCGGGCTAGACTGTTTCCGTAGCGGCACGCCCACCCTGCTGGCAGAACAAAAGTGGGGAAGAGGGGCTAGTCTCTGGAACAATGACAGATCTTATCAATCTTTTTTTAAAAAAAAAAACAAGGAACAAAGGCAACCTGTTGAGAGAGCCTCAAAATAACAAAAAGGTATTAGTTCAAGTGCAAAAAAACAGTGAAAACAAGGATGGGATGGAGAGACAGAATTGCTCAGACTCGGCACACCGTAGAGGCCTCCAGCAGCACTGCCCCAGGCGCGGGGACTGCAGCAGCAAGGGGCAGGACAAAAAATCACGTCACCGATTCAAAAATGAACACAGGATTTCTTGGGAAGAAAAAAATGGGTTTGTGATCATTAAGTGGATCAACAAGCAATGTCCAGACAATACTGGTTGCGTTGATACATTAACCTGATCAGTCATATGTAACCCTGTACCCGACCCTTGACAAGACTCCATGTGCTGTCCTTGTCCAACCTGTCCACCAACAGTCGAACCCCTGTACCCTGGACCCCCCAGGCCAGTCAACGCCCAGAATGCACCATCGCAGAGACAAACAGCGGCCTTTATAACACATCGCCACGTCACACTTCCACTTGACCACTTACAAAACTGGACGCACTCAGAGGCTCTCTTCCAAAAGATGCAGCAGCCCCAATGCCAAATCAATGCAAATATCCATCTGTGTCAGCATCCCTACTCCCCCCCACCAGGCCACAACCAACACCTTCCAACTCCACTTCACAGAACTCCCATTGAGCTACACTGAGGGGCACCGCTGCCTTCTGGGAAGCTAACTGAGCCACGAAGGGAGACGTTCACCCATCAAAGGTCAGAGCTCAAGTGGAATCAAAGACAGGAAAGACTTGGGTTGATCAGATGGTGAAACCGTTCTACACTTTTGTGTTAAAGTAGAGAAAACTGGGAATATAGGGAACCAGGATCCAATATGATTTTTAATCCACTCATTTGCTGAACATTTCTGAAGGCCATTGACTTTCACGAGCTGCTCAAAGCTCCTGCTTATGTTTAGAAGGACTAGGATTCTGCTTAGCACTAGCACTGCACCTGCCAGTATAAAAACACTTGCCCCACATAACCAAACCAACGGGAAACTCATCTCTACAAAGACTATGTGCCATTTTGAAAGGTGGTTCCTGCAGTGTTGTCACGCAACTTCAAAATGCCTACCACTTTCTTCCCCCTTACCCCAATATGGATTCATCATCGGCCAACAGACTTTTCTTCAACTGAACCAGCCGAGGACAGGGGAGTAAAGAGACTGAGCACACCCACAGCAGCGAACGCCCCTGGAGGAGCAACACAGTCCCACAGTCCTGTATTCCAAGCAAGCTTTCAGCCTCCAGAGGGTTCCCTCAAGGTCAAATGAGTTTAGTGCCAAAGCCGCAGGCCACAATAACCATGGGAAGAGGAAAATCAAGGTGGGGGCTCTTCTTTTTTAGAATGAGCGAGCTAAATCCAGCGTCTGCCTCCAGGACACACGAGCGCTGTCAGAAGCACGGTGACCGCAGGCCGCGCTGTGGACAGCACTGGAATATCTGGACGGCCCTCCAGAGACAGGCTGGCAGCACTCAGTGCTCAGGGGCACAGAAGTGCGTGCCCGGGGAGGAAAGGGGACGATGGAACAGACCCCCTCTGCTCCCTGGAAAGAGGGATGCCCCTGGGCTCGAGAGAGAGGGGAACACCAAGGGAAGCTCACGCGACAGACACCAGCTCTCGAGACGCCCCCCCCTGCTGCTCCACGAGAGCGCAGGGCGTGGCGTGTGTGTGCGCGCGCGCAGTTTACCTATCGCTCCGGCCCCCTCCATGGCCCTTCATGGCCCCCGCGCCCTCCAGCTGGGTCAGCATGTCCAGGCGCTGGTTGATCTTGGCGATCACGGCGTCGGCGCTGGTGCCGGTGGTGGAGAGCGAGGAGGGGCCGCCAACCCCCGACAGGCCCCGCTTCTGGCCCCCGTAGCCCCCGAACCCCGAGTCCGAGTCCTTCCCGTAGCCGAAGCCATACGAGTCGTACCCGCCCGAGCCTGGAGGGGAAAGAAACCCGCAGGTCACCCGCGGAGGGCACACAACGCGCTCCCCACCTCTGGCGTTCACACCCCGATTCGCTACAGCGCTGCGGAACCTGAGTCGAGGGAGAGCCCTTCCCACCCCACACAGCAGGAAGTAAAACAAAGGGTCAAAATATCTTTCTACAGAATGAAGCGACCGAGGAGATGCAAACACCCTCAACAGCCACACGCCACCGACCCGAACAGTCAGCTGGGAAATCGGTATTTCCAGAGCCCGGAAACCTGACAGGCCCAACCCACCCGGTCCTGAAACTGCAGAAGAACGTTTCAGTCTGCTGGCAGAGGGACCACAGACCTGAAAGGTATCTCGCTGCTGTCCTGGTTTCTAGTTCTGGACTGTTTTGTACAGCACCGGGTACGGACATCTGATCCGTAACAATGAGCCCCAACCACTGTTAAATGCAACGAGGAAACACCTGCATCCGAGTCCAGATTAGCTCGGATTTAGGGGTTAACTCCTAACCGTCCGGAGTCTCCGCCCAGACAATCAGCATTCCTCTTGAAATTACTTAAACGCTTAAGGTGAGGTCAGTGTAAGTCTGCCACACCCCTAACACACACATCCGTGTAAAAAAAAAGGGAGAAACAGGACTGTGCTGATCTTACCCCGGCTGGAAGAGCCGCCACTCCAGCTGGAATAACCTGAAACAAGAAGACAGGGAGTCGTCAGGCAGCCACGGGGAGGGGGGAACGTGCACACCAGGAGTCAAGCTGCTCTGCCAGCACGCGCTGGGCCGCCTCTCCGTTAACATTCAAGCTCTGCTAAACCGCACCCTCCGGCCCGTTCCCTTGCTCCTTCTGGAGAGGCCTGCCGGGTCAGCGTGGTCATGGCCGTTCACAATCCTCAAAGGGAAAATCAGGAAGCAGAGAGTGCGGGGGGTAAGCTGCATGGACATGCATTTAAAACCAAGCACAAGGGACACTGTACACAAAGGGTAGTGGGAGTCTGGGACAAGCTACCCAGCCACATTGGTCCCAGGATGTCAGCCGGCCATTTCTTTAAGGAAGCCGGGGTACCATCTTCAGCAATCAACCGCCCAGTGGACCAGACGGGCTTCCTCCTGTTTGGAAGCTCCCTTGTGAAGCAGTACGTGTTGAGCAAAAGGACAACCAGCACAGCTCCCCAGCTTGCAAACGAAGACCTTTTATAACCAGTACACATATACATGCAGAAGAGCATCACCTGTATATGTGTACAGGTATGAATGAGAACTTGAACCCGTTTTTGAATTGGGAAACCTGTACCTGCGTTCTGAGGGTAGTAACTGGAATTCATTCAACAGAGCGTGAAGGGTCCTCTAGGATGGGATATGCTTTAGGAAAGACTTGTAACTGGGGAAAAAAACGGCAGTAGAAAACTCTTCGCCTTTCTCCTTGGTTTGACAAGGGGGTATCTTTTTTTCCTCTCAGCAGATTGTTAGCGCAAATGGAAAAGACAGATGTGTAAAGAAATCACCTTTTACTCCCTCTCCCCGCATCCTTTTTTTTTTTATTTAACCCAACAGTTCTAGGGATGGTGGGAACTATGAACGAAGAAGGGTTCACACTACAATAGGACTACAACAGAGCTGATGACTTTGCGCCAATTAATTTCCGCCGGCAGGCCCGCTCCCCGTCCCTCACTTCCGCCCTGTCACTGTCACGCGGCGACAGCAGCCCTTTCAAAACACTGCTCCATCAAACCTAGAGCAATCGCGACAGCAGCAGCGTGCGATTCAAGCCATCGTCCAGTCATTGCATTAGCCTTCCAGCCCGAGTATCCTGCACAACACGCGTACGGCTCGCGAGTACGTTGCTCTGCATTGTTCTAAAAAAAAAAAAGGACAATTGTAAAATCCAGAGTTGGGGGGTGGGGGGTGTGTCGCTTGGGACAGCATTTCTAAATAGCCCACGCCGTCCAGCGTGTTTAACCGTGGGCGAGTTGCATTTGAACATGAGTCTCGGTAAAACCAGCTTGGGGGAAGCAGGTTTTGCGTTTGTCTCCAACAGCCTCTGGGACCCACAGACAGGGAACCCCGAAATCGCTTGGCTGGCTGATGCTACAAGGCTTTCGATGAAGGTACCACAGTACTCCACCGGCTACAAGCCGTATTTCAGCTCTCCACGCACAAGTGTGCAGGATTGTATCGGGAGTAGAGCCAGGGGGATGGGGGAGGTAGCAGGAAAAGCGGCTGCGAGTCGCACGTTTAAAAGTACAAAACACCGACTATAACGCGGCGGCCATTTTCTTCGGCTCGCCCCGTGCGCAGCGGCGCACCGACTCCATTTTAACGGCATCGCACAGGACGGCAGCCCATTTCCAACCCCAACCGGACCTGCAGAGGCAGAAACGAGGCGCCCCCGCGTTGCAAACAAACCGTAACGTGGGAGTAAAGCCTACAGGCATTAACAGCTCCGGTAAAGAAAATGGCGTGCCTTTCCCCTACACAAAATGACTGTGCACATCGTAGAGGACTTGTATAGCTCTGGGCTGGCCGATATAGCCTAACCGCCGTGCCAGAATACAGTTACCCCCCATTCCCCACAACCCTGGGTAAAACCCTGCTTTTCACCGCACGCCTCTGAGCAGCAAAGTGAAAATGAAACCGGCAAACTGTACAGTGCGGTGGGACAGCCCCGACCAATACCGGCCCGTTTAATCTCTCCCTCTCCATCATGCTACACAGCACACTAAAAACCGGGGCAATACATAAATAATTCAAGCCAAGCAGATGAACAAGCCCGACGTGCAGGACTTCCACAGCGACCAAAACGTTTTTAAAGAGCCTTCTGAGCCAGCAGGGTTCTCAATCCGAACGTGCACAGGAAAAACGAGACTATAAGTGTTACACAACGGAGAAACGAAGGTGCCTCGTGTAAGCCGTTCTACTGCATCAGAAAGATGAAAAAATAAAGACGATAAACATCTCCTTTACCGTAACCACGGCCGTCCATTGCTCTCTGTAGTCCAGGCAGATCTAAGCAGCACTCTCGAGGAGGTAGATCTACAATCACCTAGACAACCGCTCCCTCGCATTCCCATTGGCCGAGTGAAGGCAGATAACTCATCTAATTGGCTCAAACGGTCGTCGTTCAAAAAAATCGACCTATCAGCCACCACGGAGTCATGAATAGGCAGTGACAAATAAAGAAGAGCGCGTCTGGTAGGCTCCTTCTCAGAGGTGGAGTGAATCTCTTCATTTTGTTTGTAGGATCTGTTGTAAGATCTCAGGAGCGCTACCTTCACCTTGTATCTGCTGTACACATTGTGAAAATTGCTATTGCTGTTGCTGTCCTACTGCACTATGACTGTGGCCCCTATTGTAACAGGACTGTTCTACTGCACTGGGACTGTGGCCCCTATTGTAACGGGACTGTTCTACTGCACTGGTACTGTAGCCCCTATTGTAACGGGACTGTTCTACTGCACTGGGACTGTAGCCCCTATAGTAACAGGATCCCCTCCAAGGTGTTTCAAGCCATGTGCTTCCTGGGATAGGCTCTAGGCTACAGTGACCATGAACAGAATAAGCAGTTATAGAAGGAGATGTGATGTAAAAAACCTCATAAAGGTTACAAGCAACAGAAGGCCATTCAGCCCATCTCTCCCAGTTGGTAGTTGGTAGTTAATTGATCCCAGCATCTCACCCAGCCTCTTCTTAAAAGAAGCCAGAGTATCAGCTTCAACCACAAGGTTGGGCAGCTTGTTCCACACTCCCACCACTCTTTGTGTAAAGCAGTGTGCCCCGTTCTCAGTTCTAAATGCACATTTTTCCAGCCTGAACCTTTCAGCTCCCACTTTGAAGGGGACCAGAGTCCACAGACTGGAAAACCCCAGATGTGAACATGAAGCGGATAGAAACAATGGGGTGGCTCCGGGGCATCTTGGGAGGAGAGAGAGGAGGAGGAGGGGTAGGTGGCACTGGAGGAAGACAGAGAGTGATTGTCAGAGCACTCCCAGCTCCTAGTGTGCATGTCAGCACAGTAACATATTTATCCCACAGGCTTGGCTGCAAAAGAGCTTTCAGAACAACTCATGCAGGGGAGTTAGGACAGAGGAGTAATGTGCATATGTTTCTTTTTTATTGGAAAGACGTGGGTGGCACAGTGGCACATATTCATGCTTCTCAGAGGGTTCGATAACATTTCAACCCCCAGATTCTGGAGCCACTGTATACAGCTGGAGGCAGCACAGTGACACAGTGGTCAGCATTGCTGCCTGGCAGTGCTGGTGTCCTGGGTTCATTTGCGGGCCTGAGGTGCTGTCTGTGTGGAGTTTGTATGTTCTCCTCATGTTCCCTTGGGTTTCCTCCAGGTGCTCAGGTTTCCTCCCACAGTCCGAAGACAGGCTGGTGGGTTAACATGGGCCCTGGTGTGAGTGTGTGTCTGTGTTTGTGTACCCTGCCTTGCTTGGCCAGGAGAGGCTGTGGCTCTCCTGTGACCCTGAATTAGAAAAAGCGATTAGAAAATGGATGGATGGATGTTAAAGACCCCTTTATTTGCAGAGATGCAGTGCTGTGTAATCAATCGACTGAGCCTCTAGTACGATTATGAGTGTGTACTACATCCGCCACTAGGTGTCACTGTTTCGCCACGTCAGATATCCAGGTGGCGTGTGTCACCCAAGAGGAGGACAAGCAAGATAACAGGATGGGTCTCAGGCCAGCGCACTCTCAGTCAATCAGAGCAATGAGACCTCGATCGCGCCACTGAGTCTGTCAGACCACATGTCGGACACAACAGAACACTTGAGGGAGAAGTAAGAACAAGTGACGTCATCACTGCCATATCACTCTGCAACTCACAACTGGCAACCCACTGGAGCTCAGGAGGTGTGAGCCTGGTCAGTACCTGGATGGGAGACCTCCTGGGAAAAACTAAGGCTGCTGCTGGAAGAGGTGTTAGTGGGGCCAGCAGGGGGCGCTCACCCGGCGGTCCATGTGGGTCCTAATACCCCAGTATAGTGATGGGGACACTATACTCTAAACAGGCGCCGTCCTTCGGATGAGAC